ACAAATGAGTGACAAAAATGAGAATGTGGAATGAGGAAAGCTTTTTAAAATATTGTGGTGGATGTGGTGGAAACCAAACCTATTGGCTTGTTGGAACTATCCCCTGCTGAGCACATAATCAGTTCATTGTCAACACGTAACATCTTTCTGCTGGCTTTTAGAAAGCCAGGTTTCTCAGAAAGACAAGCATGACATCTTAATGCCATCACAACCTGGTTTGTTTCTCTGTGGAAATCTGATTTATCCTATAAAAGAATTCAGTTTCCTTTCTCTATGTAACAAAAGGAGAAACTATCTTGATACACTGCCAGCTCAAGCTTCAAGAACTACAAGGTCTACAGAACAGAACAGAAAAAAGCCAGAAGACTACCATTTTATACTCACAGTGCTGGCTGGCTGATGTCTGTGTAAATTTTCAGAGGCTCGCAGTCTGGGCTGCTTGAGACTCCAGACAAAGGTACTCTTGGCATTCCTTTCACACCATCCAGACTCAACCCCAATGTCATATGAAAACAAATTGCATTACTTCCCTGGCTCCCTGGTCCCTGGGGAGACCTTTGTCCTTTCTTTCTTCTTGACAACCCTGGCCACAATATTCCAGGTAGGGTGGCTGACTCCAGGTTGGGAATTCCTAGAGATTTATGGGTGAAGCCTGGGAAGGGCAGGGTTTGTGGAGTGGAGGGACGTCAGTGGGGTATAATGCCATAGAGTCTACCCTCCACAGGAGCGGTCTTCTCCGGGGTAACTGATCTCTGTAGTATGGACATCAGTTGTAATTCTGGGAGATCTCCAGTCCCCATGTAGAGGATGGCAACCCTAGAGAAGGGAGCTCAGCAGGGATGTGATGCCATAGAGATGACCTTTCAAAGCTGCCATTTTCTCTAGGGGAACTGATCTCTGTACTCTGGAGATCACTTGTAACTCCAGGAGAACTCTTGGCCCCACCTCAAGGTTGATGTATTGTGCCAAAAAAAAGTCTTCACAGACTAGAAAATTCTTTTCCCAATATTTCACTAATGGATTTGATGAGTGTTACTAGGAGATATGACTAGAGTGTCTGTCAAATGGATTAATATTATATAGGCATTTCAATGCTACCCACTGTGATAAAGTTATGCATGAAACGAGATATAATATGCATGGTTCGTTGGTGTTGATGGCATTTGAATTGCTTCAAGTAAACTGAATACTGGAAAAAGAATTTTCTAGTCTGTGAAGACTTTTTTTTTGGCACAATCAGGGCTCTAGTCGGGGGGGAGCTCTCAGGTACGGAGCTCCGGAAGAGAACCTCTAGGGGGCGGGGCGGTCACGTGGTGAAGCCCCGCCCCCTTCTTTACCCCGCCCTCTGCTTCGATCCTCATTCCGTTTGGGAATGAGGATGAAGCAGGAGGGTAAGTAGCCGGGCCTTCTGACACACTTCCGGTGATGTCAGGGGGTGTGGCCTTCTGTCACTTCCGGTGATGTCAGGGGGCGTGGCATATGCAAATAAGTTATGCTAATGAGTTATGCTAATGAGCTCCGGCAGCTCTTTTTCTACAACAAGACCCCTGGGCACAATACATCACGGTTGTTTGTTTCCTTTCTACCTCCATCCCATGATCTCTTTCTTTGGTTTGCCCCACCTCAAGGTTGGCAACCCTGTTCCAGGAGATCAGACAGCATGTCAGCATATAACTTTAAAGAAGACATAGAAGTAGCAGAAAGGACTTGACTTCTTCTCGCTTAGATCTCAGGACATTACATCCCCCTCACCCTGGAAGTAAGGGGCTAAAGCATACAGCCAGTATATTGTGGGGGAAGAAATAATTAATATTGTATTTTTGAAGTGTTGTAAACTGCTTTGAGAATATAGCAGGGAGGTGGGATATTAATATAAAAATGCATAAAGACTTACAGACTAAGATGCAGACTTATAGTCTAAGGTGCAAATATGCCCCTTTCACAGTTATTTTCATAAGCAGATTATCATCTTTCTTATTTTGCTCATTTTGATTGCTAGTGTTCTCCTTCCTTTGCTTGTTCTATGCCATTTTTGTGCCTATTTAGACGTAAGCAAAGAAAACGTAAGGTTAAAATGCATGCATTTACCAGGAAAAAATTGTTGTGAAGGAACAGAAAATGGTTTCAGTTCACACAAAGAAGAAGCAAGTGAGACTGAAACAGAATATTGAGCCGAAATGGTGAAGTTGTGAAATTCACTGGCATCCCTAAAGTCACACTGATGACACAGAAACATAAGCCATGGCAGAGCCTGCAATTACAGGTATACTGACTTCTATCTCTTTGTACTGTGATACCTGAGAATAGCTCAGCTATCCTCAGCTATCCACAGAGTATAGTTTACTGTTGGGGCTATAGGAGAGTCTTCTGATGAAGGGTTCTCATAAGGTAGGCTTGCTGTTGTCACATACACAATGGAAGAGGTACTGCCATTATGGAAAAAGGTTTAATGATCTCTTTAAAATAACTGTGTTTTAGGATGGTGGTTAAAACAAAAGACCATGATCCTCAGGAATACATTTGCGCTGTTTTTTAAAAACTTTATCTTTTGTTAGCTAAAATAGAGCTCCTGAGTGCCTTTTAAACTCCATCACTTTATCTTTTGTTAGCTAAAATAAAGAGCTCCTGAGTGCCTTTTAAACTCCATCAAGTTAAAAAAAGTGTTGGCATAAGAATGGCTTAATAGCCATTAAAGCAAAGCTAATACATTGCAGAACAGTACTTTTAAAATGTGAATGAGTTGAAAGAATAATGCTGGAGTGATGCACAGGGACAGCTAATGCTCCAGGTCACCATTTTTCTCCAAAACAATGAACACACTTCTATTTATTTACCTCTGTGTGAACCCAGCAACACAAGCAAGTTACCAGCATCACCTTTACATCCTGGGGAATTTCAGCTACGATGTGGCGATGAACAAACATTACAATTTGATTCTTTAAAAGGAGATAGACATATTCCTGATGAATAGAGCCATAAATAGCTCTATTATCCTGTATCTCTTATGACCAGGATCTAATTAAACTGTAAGATATCATTTCCCAAATACCCTGCATTTCACACAATGGACACATAGTTATGACTGAACTAGCAGCCAATGCTATGCAAGAAGTAGATGTGCTTAAGCCCACTGATTTTCAAAGATTCTAATTATGACTAAATTTTGCTGGATCGCGTCCACAGTGTCTGGCAATGACCACCATCACAGAAACAGAGTACTAGTCATTACTTTGAAACCATCTGGTACTTCAGATAGGGCAGAAATCTTCAAGGGATGGCTGCAGAAATGGTGGGCAAATCCATGTCCTTAATAGGTTGTACATATGTACACACGCCAATGTGCAGAGCCATGCCACTTCTTTGCCATGCTGCAGGATAGCCGTGTGATTGGCACCTAACGGCCTAACCACGGGACCTCGATGGGACATGTGATTGGGCTGCCGTGCGTTACTGTGCTCCGGGGCGAACAGCCACACTTCTCCCCCCCCCCTGCATTTTCCGGCCCATGTAACTGGGACCATAGTTATTCAAACAAAGAACTTCTCTCCCTGCCCAGTGGTCTCAGGTTTACTTATCTGCAACTGGTAACCTGATCCACAGAGCTAAGAATATCAAAGTAGTTCAGATGCTGTACAGACAACATGACTTCTTGTATCTTGTAGCAAGAGTTGCTAACTTTTCTTGGCAGAGAAGATGCAGGTATCCTGTCAGCTGTGTAGCAAGAAAGGCCCCAGCATCCAGAAGAACTTCACCTTAGTTTCCTTCGGTCATGGAACTAGTAAAGGCACAGGAACCCTACTAAGAAAAAACAAACAGTTGTAACCATTATTGCAATTTGTAGATCCTGACTGATCTTAATTGCATGAACTGAGAGATCTCTTGAGAGATGTGTGCTGACACCATTTCTTGATTATTATCCCGAAACTCAACCCATTAACAGAACATGGAACTTTGATAGTAGTTTCTTCAGTGCCACCAACTCTAGTAGATGTGTGTGTATTTTTGGCTGGGGTGTATCTGTTGATGTTAATTGTTTTAAAATATTATTTTTATCATCTATGTTTTAAATCACTAGTTGCTTTTGTGGCCCTTGTGGGGGAAGAAACAAAGTTTAATTCTGGGTAGAATTCTGAATGCACATGAAAGCTTATACCCAGAATTAAACTTTGTTGGTCTTAAAGGTGCCACTGGACTCAAATGTTATTCATACAGACACCTTGCTAACTGAAGCAACTTTCCTTTCCATCTGAAGCTCAGCTTGACCTGATGGGGATCCATCTCAAGTGTCCTCCTCTGTTTTCTCAGAACACAGTTTCTGGTACACGGTATCTGGGTCACTCTGGGTCAGGCTCCCAGTGTCTTTTGCAGCTCGCCTGCCAATGAGAGAGGAGGTTCTCTTTGATGTGCCCTTGTTACCTTAGCTGTGCCAAATGTCCTGCCTTCTCAAATGTCTGTGATCCGGTTTTCCTTGCTATGTAGAGGCTAAGTGCCTATGGGGGGGGGGAGCTGACAGTTCTGGCGGGCAAATACTGTGGGGTGACTGGGTTATAATCTTTAGTGCCTTTACTTGAATCCACGATATCTGCAACCTTTGCGCAGTTCAACTTCAGTCCTAACAATAGATGTGTCCAGGATGGTATCTATCAACTGTCTCAAAAAGGTTAGCTTTCTTCAAACTGACTGGTGTTGAGAACTGATTTAACCAAGATCCTGACACTCTGTACCAGTGTAACTGCACATATGCCGCTTTTTAAAAAGTTTACAGTTCCAGAAGAAAGAAAATGGTGAACAGAGGAAGCACAGGCCAGGTGCTGCTGGCAAAGCCTGCCAAAGCAGCTACAGAGGACAAGCACCTGCCTGCCTTCCTCATAGCAACCTTGTGCGTGTTTGTCTCTGTTTAGCAAAGCTGGTTTCCTGCCCGGGTGATATCATGCCGGAGGTGCCCAGCAGCAAAGCCTCCTTGCCTGAAGCTCCCAGTGTCCTGCTGGTGGGCGGACTCCTGCCCTCCGTTCTTGGCAGTGGCGCCCTCCCTGGCAGCGTCCGCCTCCGTCGCCTGCCTTCCTTTGCGCGTGGAGCTTCCGAAGAGCAGCCAAAGGGCAGCCCGCTGGTGGCTGAGCTCAGCGCTTCCTCGGGCAGCTCTCAGCGCCGATAGAAGAAACTGACCCAGGAGAGCGGCGCAGCCTCCTAGACGCTGGACGACAACGGAACGGAAGCCCCTTTTGTCCTATCGGAGGCGAGGCGACTTTGGCAGATTCTTCCGAGCGCGCCAGATGACTTCCTGAGCAATCAGAGGCATCTCTAGGCAAGAGAAGCCCTCCGCTGGGACCCCGGCTCGACCCACAGACAAGAGCTCCCACAGGTACGAGGGCCCGCAGTGGGCAATGTATATACTCTGGCCTTTGCTTGAAATTTCTCCTTGGATCGGAGAAATCCAAGGCAGAAGGTGGTGTGTGTGTGTAAGGGGGGTAATGTCCCGTCTGAGCGATTGCCCAGGAAGGAAATAAACTCTCTGAGCAGGGGGCGGAGGAGATTCTGCCGTTTTGGTGGGCTTCCATTGAGATGCTGGCTCCTCTTAAGAAAAAACGATTGGAATAATCCAAGCAAGTCTGCTCTAGGACGCCGGAGGGAGCCGAGGACGGGATCAGATTCCAAAATCTCTCGAATTTAGCAAAGGACCCGTCCTGCTGCTGTCCGATTGCAGGAGGACACACGCCAGGTTGGGGGAAAGCAGTGTAATTATTGGGATCATCGTTGCGTGATTTGTTGGGGGGGGGGTTGTTTTGCTAGGGAACGGCTAGGAAAGAAGCCAACCTAACAGGATATCTCTGTTTCCTTTTTCCTAAATCAATTTCATGCTCCGGAGGGGGGCGGGCGGACGTCTAACATCCGTGCAGAGCCGTCCCGGCTCCAAACAACTGCAGAGGTTGGAGCAGCAGAGGCTGTACCCAGGGACTTCGCTAAGGGGTTCTTAAGCGGACTCAGGGCTGGAACAGCCCCGGAAGATTTGCCTGATCTCTTTGGTGCAAAGGCGTTTCGGATTTGTTTCGATACAGACGCCAGAGAGAAGCGTGAGAAAGTCTGTGGCTGCTTTTGCAGCCGGCTCAGAACACCTTGCGTAACAACCAGTTCGTGTTACGGGAGCTATAGTCCCGAAGCACATTTCTTTGGAAGGTTGCCCTGTCCCCAAGGCAGCTGCAGGGCTTCCTGATCCACTGCTATTTATAATATACCCATGGCCTGTTCACAAATGCGTGTACATCTTGCTCGCAGCTGAATGTGTGAGCTGGCCCGTAGCTAAACTTTAGTTGTGTCTGTTGGGCTTTGATTGAGGGCGGATTCCCACATGTAAGTCACCTCTTGAGGGCGACATTTACGGAGTCCTATGTTTGCCCCCATACTCCGAATAAAGAGACACAGAAAGTGGGATAAACTATGGGCCACTTTATTAAATTCACAGTTGAAAATAACAGCAAGGGCAAATATGTGAAAGCGGCACGATCCGGGCCAGGGGTCAGCGTTGACCCTTCCCCAGTCGTAGGACGCGGAGCCACCCACCCCCAGCTTGAGCCAACCTGTGTGGCTCCCCACTGGCGAGCACACTGGCAGGACACAATGCCCTGGAGATCCAGCCCCAAGTCGTAGAACTTAAGCGGCCGATCGATCCATGCAGTCCCCAAGGTAGTTTGCCATATTTCCCCGGGTCGCTCAACCCAAAGACTAATCTGGCCAAACTCCTATCACATGAAGTAATTAATTGGTGCTCCTGTTAGCCACATCTCAGTTATCAGCCCCAATCCTGCCACAGCCGAGGTCAAGCCTCAGCTTAGGCCGCTGCCCCCCACCGAGAAGCATAATGCCTCCTGCAGCCCTTGCCGTAGATCCTCCAAAAAAATGTCATTCCCTTGCTCAGAGAGGTGTACCCCATCCGGCCTATAAAGCTCTATGCATTCAGGATGAATGCACGGATGGGGCAGAAAGCGGCCCAACCCCACATCCAGAACTTTCTTAATATCTCTGTTAGCCTTCCGGCAGGCCCGATCAATCCCCACTGGGCTCAAGACGTTGCACCAGACCCTCCTGGGAATCATTGCCAACCATACTATATTCACCCCCGGCCAGCGCGCCTGGATGACCTGCAAATCATCAATAGCCTGGAGAGTCAAGGCTTTACCCTTGACCAACCCCAGGTCATTACCTCCCAGGTGCACCACCAGCACGTCAGGGGGAATGCGCGTGGGCCCCTGAAACAACAAAGACAAGAGGCCGGCCCAGTGAAGTCCATGGTGCCCCTGCCATTCAAGGGTGGCCCATTGACTAAGGCCCAGCTGAGATCCAAACGCACTTCTCCTTGCCCGATGTGCTGCCCAAAAGACAAAGCTGTGGCCACAGATGAGAACCCGCTTCCTCTCAATGGCCCCTAAACAACCTACGAAGGAAATAACAGATTAATCCAAAGAAAAGAAAACCATGAAGAGAAAAACAGGGGCGCCCCCAGAGTGAAACAACCGTGTATACCCTAAGAGGAAGGAAAGGGGCGCACATAAGACTTATAGGCGGTGGAGCGCCACCTACCCAGCCGCTGAGTGTTCGGGGAAGAGTAACCCATGGCCGCAGCAGTAGATGCCGCCCCAATCCGAAAGGAATGTGTGCCAAACCTCGCTCCTGACAAGCCCAACTTCGACAGGGCCCACGTGGTCACTGTCCAAAATTGGTGCTTTGTAAGCGGACTGCCATCCTCATGACGAAACAACCAGCCATCAGCCCTTCCCCACTCTGCAATATAGCTAACCAGGGCTGACACTGGGCATAGCTCAGGATCCGCACATGGCCCCAAACTGAGCATAGCCCCCCTTTGGTGCTGATCAGTCTTGGACCGCCGCACCTTGATGAAAGCCCGACCGGAATGCATGGTAAGGTCTGCCATAAACAATGCCCAAGCGGAGGAGTCCCCCTTGGACTGTGCAACCAGCTCGCTGACCCTGAGGGCCCCAAAGAAGGCCACCAGGGCTGCTGCGTGAAAGAGACGTGCCTCAAAGTCAGAGCTACAGACCTGGCCCCACACCCCTCTCAGGCCCTTGAGTATAGCTGGTGAAATCGGCTGCCTCCTGTCCACCTGCTGGCCATCCTCCCTGGACCATCCCTCAAGCATGTTCCCAAGCCGAAAGTCATTGGTGTCCTCTCGGTATCCCAATGCCTTGCTGGTGAAAGCCAGGGCAGAAATACGACCCTTGATGGAATGCACTGCAAACCCCTTACCTTTCAAATCAACGCAGTAGTGGAGCAACTGGTCCACTGGCAGGGGCCAAAGCACATGATATCCTACCTCAAACCTAAACTCCTCAAATTGGCGTATTGCCAGCTCATAAGATTTTCTGGTATTGGGGGCTATGGCAAGGCCTATCACCCTACACGCTTATACCTTCCAAGCTGCCACAGCTCCGGGGGGATCCGTGCCGGACGAAGATTGGCTCCGGGGGCCAGCTGATGAAATTTCTCCATCTGTTTGCAAGATAGAGCATCAGTGACCCCATTATCCACCCCCGGAACATGCCTGGCCAAGAACAAGATATTACGTCTCAGACAGTGCAGCGTGAAGGCTCTGACCAGGGCCATAACCCGTGTGGACCTGGACGACAACGAGTTAATAACGTGGACCACTGCTAAGTTATCGCACCAAAACTGAACTCTGTGATTAGCGAAAGCATCGCCCCAAAGCCAGACAGCGACCAGTATGGGGAAAAACTCCAGGAAGGTGAGGTCCCGGCTGAGACCCGCCGCCACCCAATCCGGGGCCCAATTTTCTGCGCACCAATGCCCTCAGAAAAATACCCCGAAGCCCAGAGAACCTGCTGCATCCGAGTGCACTTGCAGCTCTGCCCGAAGCCCAAGGTGGAAAGGTACCAGCTGGATATTAGGAAAAAATGTTTTTACAGTAAGAGTAGTTCAACAGTAGAATTGGCTGTCTAGGGAGGTGGTGAGCTCCCCCTCACTGGCAGTCTTTAAGCAGCAGCTGGAAAAACACTTGTCAGGGATGCTCTAGGCCAGTGGTGGGCAAACCCATTAGTCAAGAGAGCCAGATATCAACAGTACAACGATTGAAATTTATTTTGAGAGCCAAATTTTTTAAACTTAAACTACATAGGTAGGTACATTGTTATTAACTTAATTAGGGTACTCCTAAACTGGCCTTTGCTAAAAATGCCCTCAATCTGATTGAGGTACGTTCACTGAGGTCGACCCCTTCCAACTCTCCCATCCACACTCATCTTGTATACTTGTTTTGTCTCCTTTCATTCATCCTCTCTATATGTCCAAAGAATCCATAAAATTAAATCATGACAATGACTGACAAACACTAATGTGAACAATGGCCTTGCATCTCCTTGGAAAGTTTGGGTAAGTCAGGTTTGTATGTTGTTGTTTTTAATTTTAGGCATGATTCCAGGTTCTCATCAATAAGACGATTTCTCAATTTACTCTTGATAAGGTTCATGCTTGAAAATGTTTGTTCGCATAAATATGTAGACCCGAATAAGGAAAAAACAGCAAACACTAGTTTTTTCTGTTGATTATATGTCAGGAATACTATTCCAGGTGTTAAAAATCAACATATCTTCCTTCTCCACAGCTAGCATTCTGTTCCCAACCGCAGCCTTCCAGAGGCCTCTGGAAGCTCAAAGAGCTGTTTGCTCTCCCCCATTCTCTCAAGAGCATTTCATATTAAGAGGTTCAGTGTCCCTGAATGCAAGCTTGATTAAGTTCACAATATATTTCATCTCTATGGGTTTCCCCCCCCCTAAAATTTCCACCCACATCTTGTGGCAGTGGCTTTCACAAGTTAATTGGGCGGGGGGGCAGTTTTCAGAGGCCCGCAACAGTCATCCTTCCTACCCAGCTCAGCTATTTCAAGCACACAACACC